GTTTTGTTTTGGTTTTGGTTTTTGGTACCGGGGATCGAACTCAGGACCTTGTACTTGCAAGGCAGGTGGCGTCACCACTGAGCTAAATTCCCAGCCCGAAAACATGCATTTTTAGATCAGCTTGGGAAAGGCACTGTTTCTTTTGCTCAATTAATAAATGGGATTCATTTTTTCTTCTCCTTATCCAGTTGTCAAAAAGGGTGGGAATATTCACTCCGTGGTTCATCATGGCAGGAGGGTGTCAAATGCATGCTGCTTTTTGCGTCATCAAAATGGCCAGGTGCGGTGGCACATGCCTGTGATCTCAGCACTCAGGAGGCTGAGGCAGGAGGATCCCAAGTTGGAGCCCAGCCTGGGAAACTTGGGGAGATCCTGTTTCAAAATTAAAAAATAAAGAGGGTGGGGGTATAGCACTCGTGGGTCCAATTCTCCAATACCGCAAAAAGAAAAAGGAAAAAACCGCTGGAAACATGCCAGGAGCCCACAAACAGAGACCTGGGTAAAAAGACCGCCCCAGGCACAAAACAGAACAGCCAGAGAAAGACCAAGGTAGGCTTGTGTGTTCAGACATGGAAAGATGCCTGCCATCTACCCAGTGAAAAACATCAAACCACAGAAGCATAGCAAAGGATCTTTTTTGTAAACCAAGCTACATACCAGTGAGGACTCTAAGAGGCGTGTTTGGAAACAAGAACAAGCGGACAAAAGAGTCCTTCTGAAGAGAGATTAAGGGAGGCCTGGTGGAGGGCTTCTCATTTGTTATTCCCTTCCTGAACTGTCTACGCCTGCAGTCACTTTTGCAATTAGACAAAGGGTATGGGCGGTGGGAGGCCTGGGGGTCACACACGTGACCACTGATAGTTACAAGGCTTATTTCCGGGGTGACAAAAAAGTTCTAAAATTAGGGCCAGGGATTTAGCTCAGTGGTTCTGCAGCCGCCTGCTCTGCAAGCGCAAGGAACCGAGTTCGATCCCTGGTACCCGCCCCCCCCCAAAAATCTGACAGAAATTAATATTAGAACCCAGCTAAATTCCATTATGGGTCGGGGATTTAGCTCAGTGGTTCTGCCGCCTGCCTCGCAAGCACAAGGACCCAAGTTCGATCCCCAGTACCAAAAAAAAAAAAAAAAAAATTCTAAAATTGAATGTGACCATGGTTGGACAACTCTGTCAATACACTAAAAACCACTGAATTGTACACTTTCAGTAGGTGGATTATACAGTAGGTGGATTATGTCTCAATGCAGCTGCTATAAAAAAAGAAAACAAACAAGCAGGCGTGGTGGTGGACATCTGTAATCCCAGCACTGGAGAGGCCGAGGCAGGAGGCCAGCCCGGGCTAAACAGTGAGTTCAAGGCCAGCCTGGAATACACAGTAAGACCCTGTCTTGGGAAAAAAAAAAAAGAGAGAGAGAGAAAGAATGATGAGCTGGACAGGAGGGTGGAGCTTACAGGAGCAATGGCTGAGTCCCTTGAGGCTACCCTGAAGACTTGGCAGACAAGAGGGGACCCCCCCCCTCAGCCACTGCCAGCAGCACCCAGCCCCGCCCCCTCACCCATGGCATCTTGGGTTACGTGGCTCAGGCCATGGGCACAGAACCCCTCCTGGGCTCAGAACTCACACCAGGGCCCAGATCCCCTCTCCTCCGATCCTGAACTCTGGCCAGACGGAAGGGACAGGCGAGCCTAACCCAGCCACCTGTCCTACTCCTAGGTCCTTCTGCCCATCACGTGGGTCCCTATCACTACAATCTTCCGCTCCTCCAGGCCGCCACGTCCACGGGACCTAGCTTCCAAGGCAGAAGGAACCCGGAAATCAGGCTCCTGAGCCCCAGGTGTGTCATCACATCCAGGGGAGAGGCCACGCTGACCCCAGAGGCTGGACAAACCTGAGAGAAATCACAGCTTGATGGCACCCTTTAAATTCCAAACACAGCAATTCATCTTGCTCACAAGGAACTCAACTGCGGAACGGGACAAGCCTCTTCATAATAACAGAGCACATCCCTGGCCCCAGCACCGGCCTGAGCTGCTGACTGCACATTGTCTAATTAAATTATCCTGGCAGTGCCTAGAGGGCACCTGCCATTACTATTCTCGCTTACAAATAGGAAAACTGAGGTTGAGCCTGGGTGTGGTGATGCACACCTGTGGTCCCAGCACTTGAGAGGCTGAGGCAGGAGGATCCCAAGTTTGATGCCAGCCTGGGATACGTAGTGAGTTCAAGGCCAGCCTGAGCTACATAGTGAGATGTTGTCTTTTAAAAAAGAGAAAATAGGGGCCGGGGATTTAGCTCAGTGGTTCCGGTGCCTGCCTTGTAAGCGCAAGGTCCCAAGTTCGATCCCTGGTACCAAAAAAAAATAGAAAAAGAGAAAATAGAGATATCTTGGGAAAATTTGGGGTTGCCAGACCTTCCGGTAACAGCTAGGTAAACTGAGACCTAGAGAGAGTAAGTGGCCTCCCCATGGTTACACAAGTTCCTGGCTCCCAGGTTAGGGCTCTTTTCTGTTTGTTTTTGACATATGTTCTCGCTATGTAGTTCAGGCTGGCTTTGAACTCGCTATGTAGCCCAGGCTTGCCTCAAACTTGTGGAGACCCTCCTTCCTCAGCTTCCCAAGTGCTGGATTACAGGCATGTGCCACCACACCTCGATAAACTAGGGCTCTTAACTTCCTCTGCTATAGCCTCTTGTGCCCAGCTACCTGGGCCACTGGTATAGGAAGGAACAAGCCCCTGCTCGCCAGAGGCTTTGAAATCTCAGGATGAAAGCTGCCGGGGCAGTGAAACAGCACTCTGGGTAGGAGCGTGCCTGACCTTCGCCAAGACTTGCAGTCTGGCATTCACCTGCTAACCTGCCTGGGCCGGGTACAAAACTGCAGGCCAACCCACAGCACCCCAACAAGCCAGGGAGCTCAGAGCATGGTGGGAAGTGAGCTTCCCAAAGCTGTCATTGCTACAGGCTGGCCGCTCCAGGTGGGGAGAGCCTGGAATTTTAATTGTGTGCAATGGACCAGCCCACCGTTCCCTGGGTGGGGTGAGGAAGAGGAGGAGGTGGCAAAGGCGCACCCTCATTCCCCTCGCCAGATTTCTAAGGTGGTTCACTTCCTCCGAGGGGGCAGGGAGGCTTCAAGCTCCTGTCCTACCAACTTCCCGGCCCTGCAGAGCCACTCAGGTGAGCCTGCCCCGGAATCCTAGGCATCTTAAGAGGGTTATTAATAGCAGCAAAGTGTCAGGAAGAGAGGCCAGCAGGCTTTGAGTGGGCACAACCCTCTTCTCCCCAGCCTGGTATCCACAGAACAAACCCAGCCCTCTCCAGCAGAGGACACTTCAACTTCTGTGGCTCAGTCCCACCCCTGGAAACGGCAGGGGGAGGAAGGGCTGGCACCTCACTCAGCCCAAGAGGTGGGGAGGTGGGGAGGTGGGGGAGTCCGAGCTGGGTGTGGGGAGAGGAAAAATCCCACCCAGGCCCGCGGGAGGCCCTGAATGGAGGGACTGTTGCAGAGCTCCAGGAGGTTGCCACCAACAGGGAGGGGACAGGAAGACTCCGCCCCAGCCCTTCCTCCTCCCAAAGTCCAGGCCCAGTCCCACAAGGAGGCCTTCCAGGACTTAGCTCCCCGCTGGTCCAAGGAGAGCGACTGAATCATTTCTGTATCTCCCCCAGCCCAGGGCTAGCACAAAGGGGAGCTCAGGCCACTGGCTCCAGGCCACAGTCAGCAGGCAGGCCCTCCCCAGCACCCTCTTTGTACCCAGCCAGGGTGGGGCCCTGGGGACACCGAGCTAAGAGACACCTGGTCCTTGCTCTCCAGCGGTCCCTGGTATCAAGAGAGCATGGAGAACACGGCTAAGAAACACAATCTACAGGACATCAGTATAAGTGTAGGAGGACAGACCTCTCGGGGAACATTGGACTGGGACATAAATGCAGCCAAGTGGGTCTGTGAGCTGCTGTGGAACCCACCTGACTGCCACCCCTGCGTCAGTGCCTCTTCTCTGCCAGGCCCTGAGCCAAGCGAGCTGCAGGAATTGGCTCATTTAGGTCTCAGTAACTCACCAGTAAGGAAATCACTGACCCCACTTCAAAGATGAGAAAACCAAGGTGCCAGACATTGAGAGACTTGTCCAAGATCCCACGCCTGGGAAACAAACTCTGGGATTCCACCAAGGCCACTTACTGCCCCCTTCCTGATGTCGGCCCCAGCCGAGTGTCTCAGGCAGCCTGAAGGTCTCACCCCACCTCCCATTCTCCAGAGGAACCCAGGGCCCGATGCAGCCCCTGGCCTCCCCCGGGGAGCCTTAGGGGCAGCTGCCCTTGTGAGAAGGGTCATAGTGTGGTGACAGGCTGAGAGCTACCCAGCTGAAGAGACTGGGGGTGCTGGGAAGGAGAGGGGCTGGCCCCAGAGGGTCCCTTCCCGCCCTGACTGGCTTCCCGGCTGGGGCAGCCAGCAGGAGCACAGGGCTGAGCTGAGAGGAACCCCACCCCCTCCGGTGCACCCCGCGTATCCCTGGCCTCTACTGGATCAGTCCCAGGCCCTACAAGGCCCTTCCTCTGGAAGATTCGGCCACGAGTACCCCGGCTGGGGCCAGAGCAAGGTGTGGATGGGACAGCTCGCCAGGAAGGTCAGGGCTGTGTGGGGCAGATCTAGGGGAGACAGGAGCTTGGAAAGCTGCTCGGCGGGATACCGGGTGGGAAGGGATGGGCTGCAACCCTCCGGGCATCAATCTGGCATTAGGGGTCCGGGGATCCCAAGGAGGTTCCTATAGGGAAGGGGGAGGGGACCCAAATCCACTCAAAAGGGAGAAAGAGGATCTCAGAATGAGGAGACAAGGGGCACCCAGACCCAGAGGGAACAAGCTCAGACCGTACCCACGCGCGCCTCCCCCCCCCCACCCGAGCCTAACTCTTGGGGGACCCCAGTCCCGAAGGCTGGCAGGCCGGTGGAGGCGTGGCCCGGGACGCCCGGCGAACCCCCGGCACGCGGGCGCTCGCTGCGCAGTCCTCACCTGCGATGTGCTGGCGCCGGGCGTCGTCCAGGTGCGTGGACACCACGTCCCCCATGGCGAGGAGCAGCGCACCCAGCCCAACCCGGCCGCCGCCCGCAGTGCCGGCGCTGCTCAGACGGACGCCACTGGCGCCATGGAGCCTGGCCCGCCCCGACCCTGCCGCTCCGCCGCCCCTGGCTTCGGCCTCAGCTCGGGTCGAGCAACGTCCTCCCGCCCGCAGCCTCCGTCTCCCGCGCCCGCCCGCTCGCCCGGCCCCGCGCCCAGCCGCTCCCCGCCCCGCCCAGCGGCCAGCCGCTCCCCGCCCCGCGGCCAGCCGCTCCCCACCCCGCCCCGCCCCGCCTGCCAAAGGCCCCGCCCCGCCAGGACCACGCCCCCTCGCCGCCCTTGGGCGGGTGGGCGGGTGGGCGGGGCTCGCGGGTAGGGGATGCCGCAACTGCAGCGAGACAGAGACAAAGAGAATACCCGCGAGGGAGACTCAGAGCGACACGGACAGTGCGCGCCAGATCCAGACCCAGGCGGAGAGAGGGACTTAGTGGGCACCTCTGAAAGATCGGGGTGCCCAGGGGCTCCAGTCCGGCCGTCTCCCCTCCCTTCCTGCCGAGGAGGACGTGGGAACCTGGAAGGGGACGCCCAGGCCGACGTGCAGGAAGTCTGCGTCCGCGCAACGCTGCTCCGCCCGCTCCCGGTGCCCTGCCCAGTGCGCCCCTGCCCCCAGGCCTGCCCGCAGCCGCCCTCGGAACTTCCCTGGCCTTGATCTGACCTGCCCAGGAGGTGTGCTGGCCAGACTTGCACAATAGCTAGGGGCAAGGGCTGCTGCCTAGGAGTGGGGGGCGCTGGGGCCCAGAAGCACCAGGACCCCAGTGCCAGGCCTGCATTCTTCAGGTCCAGCTCGGGGCCTGTCTCTCAGGAGGCGGCTGGTGGGACAGAGCAAACCAGAAATGGGAAAAGTAACCGCACTTTACAATTTGCAAAGAAAGGCTGTGGGGTGAAAAGGCAAGATCAGGCGCGGACTTTGGGTACACCACTGGGGCTGGGCATGTTGGATCACTAGTACCAGATGAATGTGTTTCAGTTTCAGATTAACAGCAGGGATCCTCAAATCTTGGACTGGAGTGGCAGAGGCCGCCCTTGGCTGCTGATGTCCCATCTGTCCTGTATTCTAGCAAGGGCCAGGTGGTTGCTACTTGCTTACCCCAGGTGATGGAGCACTCACTACTTCTCCAGAGAGCAGTCCATCCTTTCATGGCCCATCTCGTGCTGTAACTGGTACAGGCAGCGGCCGATGACGGAAACAGCTTTACTGTGCTTCAGACCCGTCCACGCCGCAGGAGCCAGGTGTGGAGTGGATGAAGCGAGGCAGGCAGCAATCCATGCATTCATTCACTCCCAGTCATTCAGTGATTCTGCAAGAAGCCCGAGCTTGCTGTACATGGTGGAGAACGCCTGTAGTCCCAGCACTTGGGAGACTGAGGCAGGAGGATCGCTGTGAGTTCAATGCAAGCCTAAACTTCGTAGTGAGAAGACCCTGTCTCAAAAAAAAAAAAAAAAAGTTCAAGCTGCCTAACCCCTCTATGAGCCCAGACAAGGAACATTGCCACTTTGGGCCTGTCTCTTCATCTGTCAGATGGCAGTAGCAATACTTTGTTGGGAAGATTAAAGAAGGTGACAGAGTGCCTGGCATTGTGCCTGGCAGATGGCTGTCATTTCTCAGTAAGCAGAACTGTCATCCCATTATTCATCACCGTCCCTGCCCTCAACAGCGTCGATAAGCTCTAGGAAAGAGCGGAACATCCTATTTTGAGGACCTTCACACAAAGTAGTAACCGAGCTGAAAGTTGAGAAACAAGAATAGTGAGGAAGCGGTTTCTGGGAAACAGCATTCCACGGAGTGGGGACCGCACAGGCAGAGGCCCAGCCTCCAGCAGCAGGATCCTTTGGTTACTAGCTTCCTGGTAGACAAGTGGCCCAGAAAGGGAAGGTGATTTCCCAAAGACACACAGCAAAGCTGAGGCAAAGCCAGTCAGAGCCAGGTCTCTCCTGCTGTCTGAAGCAAGCAATGCTGGGAACCTCATTTCATTTTTCCCACAGCCCCAAAGATGGGTTAGGAAATCTGTGCCTAGGGAGGGGACAGTAGAGCCAACCCCAGCCCCACTGGAGGCCTGGAACAACTGGGGGAGGGAGGGCCACAGTAGCCCTCCCTTAGCCTTCATGGTGCCTCAGGCCCATTGTCAACTGTAGGGTGCTCTGATAGGTACTCTAAACCTTGGGCCCAGTCCCTGAAGCTTCAAGATTCATTCAGTGCACACAAAAGAATCATCTGGGGACTGGGGATTTAGCTCAGTGGTTCCACTGCCTGCCTCGAAAGCACAAGGACCCGAGTTCGATCCCCTGGTACCATAAAAAAAAAAAGGTGCAAGGTCCCGAGTTCGATCCCCAGTACCAAAAAAAAGGGGGGATGCTGTGGAGGGGGACTGACTAAGGAAAGATCTGGAGGGAACTCTCAGGGGGAATGAAAATGGTCTCTCCAGCTAGGCAGGTGGGAGTACATATTTGTCTAAACTTACCAAACTCTACACTTGACGGGTGCATCTGATTCTGTGCCAGTTAGGCTTCAGTAGGTTTTGGGGTGTTGTGCTGAGCTACATCTCTACCCCCTTTTTATTTTTCATTTTGAGACAGGGTCTTGCTAAGTCACCAAGTTGCCCAAACTGGGCTCAAATTTGGAATCCTCCTGCCTCAGCCTCCCAGAATGCTGGAATTACAGGCATTTGACACCATATCTGGCTTATTCAATAATTTAGTTTGTTCTAAGTGAAAAAGCAGGGCTGGAGTTCTAGCTCAGTGCTAGTGAGGAAAAGCTGCCCATTTACGAAGCACATGTTGCCTGCCAGGTGTCATTCCAAGTTGGCTGGACCTGGTGACGAATGCCTGTAATTCCTGCACTTGGGAGGCTGAGGCAGGAGGATGGTGAGTTTCATCAGGCCCTTGTCTTGAAAAACAACAACAAAAAAAGATAGACAAGAAGAGGGGGCACCAGGTGACAGTGCCAGGGGGAGCAAAGGTGACCCTGTAGGGCCCTGAGAGGCCAGCCACTACTAGGCGGGACAGATAGGAAGGCCCAGAAAAGAGCACCCACAACGGAGTGCTCTTTGTTTTCTCCTTCATTCTGGGAAGATCGTAAAGGTCTTTAAAAGTTTTCAGCTGTGTGCGTTAATAAATCAAGGCCGTTATGGTCTTTGGGTGAGTGTGGGGATGGTTTCTGCTGTTTGCTGCTTTTATTTTTGTGTTGCTGGGATCAAACCCAGGGCCTCACACAGGCCAGTCAAGCACTCTACCCCTGTACTCCACTCCAGCTCTGTTTTGTTTTTTTTTAAGGAAAGAAAAATTAGTATAGTCATCAGCATTTTGAAGAGTTCCAGGAAGTTAGCAGTGAATTTCTCAACTCTACAATGCCTCAGGCCATTTTAATGTTCACCTTTTAGTTTTGAGTCAATTAAAGTCTCTTTCCATACATTTATTGGTTATTTGTGGTTTGTAAAATTAATATCCTCTTCCTGCTTTTCTATTTATTAAAGAGCCCTTTATTGATTTGTAAGCTCTTTTTTCTTTCTTTCTGTGGCTTTTTGAGACAGGGTCTTGTGATGTAGCCCAGGATGGCCTCAAACTTGTGAACCTTCTGCCTCAGGCCCCTGAATGCCAGGATTACAGGTGTGCACCCTCCTAGCCAGCAAGAACTCTTTATAGGCAAGGTTTCTCAGCGCTGCAGAGCAAGGGATAGAGAGATCTCAGTCTCTTCCCAGGACTCCAGATGCTGTCTCTACCCACCAGGTAGAGTGGGGAGAGTGAAAGGGGCCTTCCCTTGGCTGACATGAGGGATGAGGGATCTCGATCAGGTGCTGGGCCTGGCCCCTCCTGAACACAGTGCCACCTACAGCCCCTGAGTCATCAGTCCTTTGTCAGGAAGTGGCTTCTGCCAAGCTGGCTCCCTGAAGGGCTGCCCCACCCTAAAGCACATTTGGAAACAGGACCCAAAGGTGAAGCTGAGTAGCTTTCGTCTTCGAGGCAGGGCCCAGCAGACCTGAGCCCCAGGCTGGACTGAAGCCCAGGGATGGGAAGGGGCTTGACCAAGGCCTTCAGTGGGGCTCAGGCCAAGACCCCTTCAGGTCCCCAGGAAGAAGCAGAGTCCTCCTCGGCCCTCTCCCTCCCAGTTGGCCCTGAGCCCCAGCTCTTCGCTCCCCACAAACCTGTCAGACCTGAAATTGAGCAGGAGAAAGAAAACAAACACCGCCAGTAAACAGCAGGGAGCTGAATGAATCAGGATTTTGTTTTGAAGGAGGATCATCTGTCCACCTCTGTTTACCCCGTTGGCATGGCCTGTTGTGCAGAAGGGACCCTGGCACCCAGCCCAGACCTCCCCTCTTTTTAACTGTTGGGTGGTGGAAGGAGCTGCAGCTCACAGCCTGCCCATCTGTCACCTGGCCCCGAGCTGTAAACTCCCTTCTTGCTCCTTCAATGGCTAAGCTGTCACCTCACAGCTCCAGCCCCAAGTCCAGGGCCCTGGGACTCCTGACCTGCACAACTGACCAGCCCTTCCCTGTCCTCCCGGCTCCAGTTTCCCATGTATTCCTCTCTGGGCAGTTGAATGGGTTGTTCTAACCCACAAATAGCTGTGCCATTCCCTGCCTTGAACCTTCTGTGGCTCCCACTGTCCTCAAGATAAAGTCAGATTTCTAACTGTGACACTGGGGACCCTGCCAGCCTGTGTTCTGTCCCTCTTTCCTTCATCCTTCTCAAGCCACCCTGAACTTTTGCATCTTTGAACTAGACATGGTCCATCCTACGTTGAGGTTTGCCAAATACGGATCCCCTTTCCCCCACCCTGCTCTTCCCAGCATCATTCATCCTTCGCGGATAAAATCACCCCTTGTTGGAGAATCTTTCTTTCCTGACCTGTAGACTAGATCAGGCCCACAATTATTGCTCCCGTAGCACTGTATACTCCTTCACCACAATCAGCTGCCTCAAAATCTTTTATTTGGTTTTTAAATTTCTTACAGTTTTTTGATTTTGGGGACAGGGCCTTGTTATACATTCCAGGCTGGCCTTGAACTCACTATGTAGCCCAGGCTGGCTTCAAACTCATGGCCATCCTCCTGCCTCAGCCCTCATCCCCAGTACTGACCTGGAATTACAGGTGTGCACCACCATGCCCAGCCCATTAT